TAAAAACACACAGTGTGGTGTTAACAATTATAATTACTGTTAGTGCTGCATTCAGCGTGTTTTTAATTTCTTGCCAATTTTATAATGCAGTATTCTTTATCTTTCTAATGGTTTTGCCTTGTATTTGTATAATCACATGTATGCCATTTGTACTGATAATTTTTCTTTCTACAAGTAACATTTGTTTTGTTATTTGTTTAATCAATAACTGATTGCTCATGTTACACTGGTATTTTTTTTTTTTTTTACATTGATTCACAGTTTTTGGTATGAAGTTGTATTTGTTGTGTTTCTAGTCATTTGATGATGACATATATGCCAGAAAAGGTAATGAATTTTGAATACCATAAATCAGGGTTTTCCAACTTGTGTTCTGAAAAACCCTAAGGTTCTGCCAATAAAATTTGGAGTTTCACAATAAAATCTATTAAGTCTATTGAGACACGAGTATGTTAATGCAGATTTGGAATTTGAGGTGTAATTGTTCTAGTCTCAGATCGAATCCTCTTACGATGTCCTCTACATGTGCTATAGTTATTTATAGTTTAACCTATGTAGAGAGGGTTAGTCAGATATGGCATTATCATGATGTAGTGGACAATAAGCGTGGGAAATTTTTAAAGAATTTTCCCACACATTTGTCTCGTTTCCGTTTCGGAAAAAAGTTTTTTAAACAGTTACATCTAGTAAAGAAAAAATCTTTTTTTATTGTCACATAATTCCTTTTTATGTGAATTTTTTTGCGGTAATTTTTGGCTAAAATTTTTTTGCGGATTTAGACGTCGTTCTCCAGTGCCACATGATCGCCCTTGACGTGTATATCTGTCAATCACTGCAGAGTGGTTAATAAACAGTGGGGACTGAGTTATCGGTAATGGAATGAACCAAAATCATGATATAATATTCAACAAGATAATGAAAACCATAAAAACAGTAAAATTTAACCTAAAGCTAGAATATCATTTAAAAAAAATAACCATAAAAAGTATCCAACATATAAATAATAATACAATTGTTAAATTTTCTCTAATTTGTTGATATCTGCAGTGCAAGCCTATTGAATCTAAAGATGGATGTTACCAGTCGGATGCCTTATGGTGTACTGTACATACTACAATACTAGTGACAGGAGACTCATGTCAGATGAGCATCACGTGTCACCAAGTGGTTAACATCATCTTCCCATTTTTAAAATTTAAAGATCAAATTTAAAATTAATAAATTAAAATTTTAAAACATTTCAAATCAGTTGGAGCATGATTAGGATAGTTTTCAGTTGCCCTGTGGCACTTGCACATATAAATCTGACTACAGTAATGATTTTTTTTTATTCCATTGAATGCACCACAGTATCTTTGTGTTTTTGTTTCTCATTGATTAAACTGCTTGCCATGTGGTATTAATATGTTGTTAAAATTAAAAGTTTTTTCCCTGTATCATCCACATATAATATATTTTGTTTGTTCACATATAACTTCAAACACAACTAGTCTCCTTCACATGCACGGCACTAGCTAGAAGGTTAAATAAAATATGGCAGGAAGATTAATGGTAGCAGGCTGTATCTCCATATACAGGGTGGGCCAATGAAAACAAATCAGCAGAGTTATCGTGTTCATCCAAGCAAATCACTCAGACAGGTGGATTTTATTTTCAAGGGGGACAACTTTTGCAATAAAGTTTTTGTGATTCTGAATACAACAGACAACAAAAAATTTTAAAAACTCATTCATTTTTTATTAACTAAACAAACATTTATCTATATCTATATCTATACTAATACTAGCAGACCCCGCCAATATATAAATAAAAATGTAATGTTCGTTTATTCCTACTGATTCCTTTGAAATTTTGACACAATGCTGCATTTGAATATGCACGTGTTTTTATATAATATACATGTCGAAATTCCCTCCGGGAGATGGACAGGATTAAGGCTTACCATAAAGAACTCTGCTTTTATTTATACTATTTTAGATGCATTTTTTTGCGTTTTTGATTGCGTTTTAATAGGGTACGTCAAGAAAATGTACACTAAGGGATTTTTCAATATTCCCCCTGTGGGGGAGAGGGACAGGATTAAGGCTTACTGTGAAGAACTTGGCTTCTATTATACTATTTCAGATGCGTTTTTGATTGCGTTTTAATAGGGTACGTCAAGAAAATGTACACTAAGGGATTTTTCAATATTCCCCCTGTGGGGGAGAGGGACAGGATTAAGGCTTACTGTGAAGAACTTGGCTTCTATNAAAAAAACTAATTAGTTAAATAATTCTAGTTTGTTTTTGCTTTGTTGTGCATGTAATATATTAAATAGAAAAGATAGACAGAAATAAAGACATAAATGTAATGGATGTAATGTGATATTAAATGAAATGTACATACTTTAATAAAAATTGAATATTCAGGTAGTCCCCAACTTAACAGTTCTATTTCAGGACTCTCATCATAAGTTAAACATAAAAAAAGTAATAATAATAATAGGATACATATGCATAATGTAATTATTTACTACCATAGTAAAATACAGTGACACAGCAAAACCAATGTTTAATGTTATAATTAATTAAGATATTTTATTAACATAGAAATTTATGGAGGGACAGGATTAAGGCTTACTGTGAAGAACTTGGCTTCTATTATACTATTTCAGATGCGTTTTTGATTGCGTTTTAATAGGGTACGTCAAGAAAATGTACACTAAGGGATTTTTCGAAAAATCCCAGCCCCATCTCTTTTAAATAAAGTTATTAAAGAAATTTAAAAGATTTTTTTTCTTCTAAATAAATTTAGCAACCTACCATATACAAAAAATCCCATAATAACAAGAATTTGGCTTAGATTACCTGACCCAATAAAACATGTAGAATATCTTGACTGCTTACTTTGTTTTAAATATTATAAAAACTATTGGCTTAGTCTGAGAGTCCCCAACGAAAGAACCCATAATGATACTTGTATACATACTCCATATTACCATTTATTCCTTTCTCAAAGATCAATTTTTTATTGTATAGTTGATAATTCGAGACTAATAGAAACCATATTGCATACAGATTATACTACATTTAAAAGTACCTGCAAACAAATTCTATATACAAAACAATAATTATTCATTTTATATTAACATCTATATCTTGCATCCATTTTAATTTTTTATTATTGTCACTTTTATTTTTTAATCTCCTTTATTTATGTGATTTTAATTATTTTAAATGTGTTTCTTGCATAATTTTTCTTTTATTTTTTAATTGTAAAAATAATGTGGAATATTAGTAAACATATAGTTATAACTATAACTAGTTATGTATATATTTTTATTATTTTGTAATTATTCTAGTTATCTTTAAATTATGTTGAATTATTTGTATAGTTTTTAACTTAGGTAAAATTGTTAAAATGGAGTGGAAATCAACTGTCCATGGACATCTTAATTATATAAGAAATAAATAAATTCTGACAATACTGTATTAATTTAAAATTTAAAATTCTGTTTTTTTTTTTTAAGCTAATACATAAAGTACAAATCAGAATTCTAAATATAAGAATCAGTTTTGATGCAGTTACTATAGTGATACATTGTACTGTACATTCATATAAATTATATTACAGGTTACCATATGGGAAGTTCTACGAGCACAGCGACCATCAAATACCATACAGTCGGATGAAGACCAAGCTCTTCAGAGGTAAGTGAGCCAAGAACGAACGACTAATGAAGACTAATCATATGAGGCTTGATCATTAACAAAAATATAACAAACAATTATTAGTTAANATTACTCGTTAACCTTTTACATTATTCTTTTTCACAATTTTCGGGACGTTTTTATTCTTTAAGGTTTAGCGAGTCCCTAATTCGTGCTTGTGGGGTCCCCCCCTTTTCTCGTTGCGGACTTACTTTTTTCCGCTCGGGAAGCGCAAGTGTGCGCGAGTTTTTCTACGGCGCTTTTCTTTCGTCGGTGAGTTGGTTTTTCTTCTATTTTTAAGTTCCTAAGGTGAATGGTGAGGAAACCTTCGTCCTAACAAAACATAAGCCCCAAACAAAAATAGAATAATAAGCAAAATAAAAGTAAATAAAAATAACGCTCGGACTTTGGTTCCTTACACAGTCAAGCAATAAACTTATCATTTTATTTTTGCTGATACATGTAAAAATAAATCAATGTAAAACAATGATGCTCACAGATGCAGTTCAAAACTATGGTGACTTGATGCTGAATGTAGTTCCCAGGAAAGGAACTTAAAGATCTCTCTCACTGCTCAGGGTGCACAAACTCTTAAAATGGCTTGCTGCAAAACAAACACTAAATGCTATTTTTGCTTTTTGCCTTTTTTCATAAAAGCAAACACCCTCTTTTGATTTTGTTTTGTTATCAAAAACAGAAACTAACACTCTTTCATAAAAGTGAAATGGCATAAAGCAAACTTGAGTTAGAATTGAACATAAAGAAACTTATTAGTTATTGTTATATAAAGAGTTTATTACCGTTTACATTTAATTATTGTACTATCTGCTTAGCAAGTATGACCAATTGTTTGGACTCAAACAACTAAAACTAATATATTAAAGAAATATATTTAAGTATAAGTGGTCATAAATCAGGGACTCCTACTTAATGTTAAAGTAAAACAACTTTTAACTTATTAAAAAAGTTCATGAAGAAAAACAATTTCTTCTATTATTTAAGAACTTAATGATTTCTTATGTAAGTAGCATTTTAATCTGTTTTTACAGTTCAGTTATCTTCAACAATGTTTTCAGATAATGTTCATGTTCTAGAATGTATAGCATCAAAATTTGAATAATTTAATATAATTATAAGTTTCTTATAATTATATAATCTCTGAAATATTAATAAAAATCAAAAACAATTTTTGCTGTTTTGGTATCTACGTAATAGATCATTTTCAGGATATTTTGGTATTAGATTTTATTTCAGTTTTGATGCAGTTACTATAGTGATACATTGTACTGTACATTCATATAAATTATATTACAGGTTACCATATGGGAAGTTCTACGAGCACAGCGACCATCAAATACCATACAGTCGGATGAAGACCAAGCTCTTCAGAGGTAAGTGAGCCAAGAACGAACGACTAATGAAGACTAATCATATGAGGCTTGATCATTAACAAAAATATAACAAACAATTATTAGTTAAGTAGCCAAATCATCTCAGTGATCCATCCTAATGCTGTTTATATATAACTGCTATTTTTGTGCTAATCAAATAACTATGCATATTTGTGAACTATTGTGGCCTTAAAGTAATTTTATGTAGTTATTCAAGATATACTGAATTAGCCTATCATTTTTATTTTTATGCAAATTTGATACAATATGAAATTTCTATCCATGCAAAATATGTTTCTTTGTTTATACATCTGATTTTTGTCAACGACAATCATTTATTGTGTCAATTATATCAAAGACTGTGAGTCGACTATGCTGCCTTAGGATAAAATATACAAAATAACTATTTTGGTGTCCTATTGCACCGACAATGTAGTTTATAGAACAATCTGTGATAGTAATTCATTTATATACTAGCGATTTTTAATTAGATTTTGCAAAGAGAGTTTAACTATTGTATTTTGAAAATGTTTAATATTATTGTAAAGTGTTTATAATTATTAGTAAGTAATAAATTGACTTGACTTACCATTGACAAGTTCTCTTTCCTTTTCTTTTTCAATACATATTCGTTTTTACTAATAATTCTTATCACACAAATTTCATTTTGAATTGTTTATAAAGTGTTTTGAAATAGCTTATTAAAAAAATATCCACAAAAAATTTTCTCCCATTTTATTCTGAATGATGTAAAAAATGTCCTAAGACATTGTCATTATTCTCAATGGAATCTGGATATTTATATTTCCCTCACTTTTTCATGGATTTTGAGAATTTCATAGCATATAAGTACATGTACTTTCATTGAAATGCTTAGTGCTGTTCTTATAATTCATATTGGTTGCATGTTATGTAATATATATATTAATTGTTTTTCTTTTTCTAATGTTCCTTCTTAACATCAGATGACTTGGACTTCAATATTAAATTCTGTAAGTGTTACCTATTTGAATTCATTGTTGTTTTCCTGTAAAATAAGCACTTCATTTATAAAAGTAATTTTTGACTGGCATAAAAATTATAGAATTTAAATGTTATTTTTAATAAAAAAAAAAACATTTAAATTTCTGTCATGAAATCTCATGACTTTTAACAAATGAAATTTGCTAAAAGTTGAAATAGTTTGAAAGTTAAGAAATTTTAAGTATATAAACTTTAACATATTGGCGACCAGAATATTCTTAAATCTCTTCTACAAAACCAATGACAATGTAAACTTCTATATCTTCAGGTTATGCTCACTTTAAATCTATCAAATGAATTTTGATGTTTCAATAAAAATTACTAAGGGGACACAGTACTGAATTTAAAAACATTTCATAAAGAACTGCATGCATTGTTAATGATAAAATAGCGAGGTTGAAGCCAAAGTTTTAAACGCGAAAACGTGTACATCGGACATTCAGTACCACTTTCCTGTAAGCCTAGAAGTTTGACAATGGTGTTTGGAATGCCGAGCATGATTCCACTGACTATCCAAACACCATTGTCGAACTTCTAGGCTTACAGGAAAGTGGTACTGAACATCCGACATACACATTTTCGCATTTAAAACTTTGGCCTCAACCTCGCTAATAATCTTATTGTTTAACTTAAAAAAACTAATTAGTTAAATAATTCTAGTTTGTTTTTGCTTTGTTGTGCATGTAATATATTAAATAGAAAAGATAGACAGAAATAAAGACATAAATGTAATGGATGTAATGTGATATTAAATGAAATGTACATACTTTAATAAAAATTGAATATTCAGGTAGTCCCCAACTTAACAGTTCTATTTCAGGACTCTCATCATAAGTTAAACATAAAAAAAGTAATAATAATAATAGGATACATATGCATAATGTAATTATTTACTACCATAGTAAAATACAGTGACACAGCAAAACCAATGTTTAATGTTATAATTAATTAAGATATTTTATTAACATAGAAATTTATGGACATACAATCATGTCTTGTCACCAAAAATCAAACTGAGGGAGTATTGCAATCTTTGTATGAAATTTTATTTTCATTATTAATTTTTATTTTTTGAATTTATTACAGTAGACTCTCAATAAGTCAAACTTTTTTACTTGAATTTTATTTTTGTTTTGACTTAATACATTGGTTCCATAGGAGGATGTTGTGTTTCTATAAGTTGAAGTAGTTTTGAGATCACATTTCACTAACTCAGAATTTAAGATCTGGAAACTTTATTTGAAATATTAATAAAAATCAAAAACAATTTTTGCTGTTTTGGTATCTACGTAATAGATCATTTTCAGGATATTTTGGTATTAGATTTTATTTCATATATAATTTTGTATACTTTCTTTTGCATCTTCAAGGGAATAGACTATATTCTCACAAAGTTGAAGATTGGTATTGTGTAGAATTATATCTTTGATTGCACAGTCAGAATTCTGAAATTCTGGAAAGTTTGAGAAATCAAGCATTTCCACAAAATACAAAGGCAAGTCAAAAAAGAGTAAGAATGGATTTATTACTCACAAAATATATTAGGCAGGATCCAGGTTGATACAGCCTTTTTTGTACTAGTCTCCATTGAGTTGTATGAATTTGGTCCAATGTGTCTGCCAGTCTTGGAAGACATTCTGGTAACTGTGTTTTGACATCCTCTTCAGAACCTTCTTAGAACAGCCACTAGTGAACTAAAACACTGACTCTGCAGTTCCAATTTCAGATGGAACAAATAGAAAGTCACATAGAACAAGGTTCAGGCTGTATATTGTTTGGTCTGTGGGAAAGATAATGGTGATGGAATTGTTTACTTTTTACTAACATGGAATTGTTTACCAATGTGAAGTACCATGCATACAATCACATGACAGTTTTGAAGACCTTGGCTAAAAACATCTTCAAAATTTCTGATGAAAAAGCCCTGAGTTTTTTCATCAGAAATTTTTGTCCCTTCTGTTTCAAATTATTGAGTGTCTACTTTATTAATTCACTTTAAGCTTATTATGAAGTTGAAATTAGAATGATAATTCTAGATAAGCAGCTCTTCAGAAAGTTACTTTCATTTCCACTTTGGCTACTAGTGATATACAGGTTTCTTTCACTATCCAAAAGTAGATCATTCCTGTGGAACCTTCATAAGTCAAAATGGCATAGTGAAAAACAGTTATCATTAACTCATATGGAAAACAGACATTGGATATGCGCAAAAACACCTTTCTTACCTACTCTAGCAACTTTAATTCTGAATTATTCTGAAATATAATGTGGCTGAAAATATTTTTAATTCAGAATAAAACTTACTGGAGTAAGTAAGAGAAGTGTTTTTTGTACATGTTACTGTCTATTAAAAAGTTCCAGTATATTAATTAACTACATATGAGAAATATTTTTCAGTGTTCCTAGACTCAAAATTAACCTACTAAATCCTACCAAATAACATACACAACCTAAAATAATACTCTCTCCAGTAAGTAACCTTTAAGCTAAGAAACAGTCCTCATCTCAAAAACCAATCAAACCATCCATGACTTTTTTAAATTTCATTATTACAATACTTTAATCACTATATTCATTCTTTGTATTTCAGCTTATTGAAAAGATTGGCTGATTTCTTCTTTAGTAAAAATAACTTAAAGGAATGCCATATATTGTGCATCCATCAATCCAGTTGTAAAGTACTATTTTATTTTTCCGACTTTCCAACGATTATCGACACTACTGTGTGCCGGAAATAGCCGTTCCCTAACGGGTACTTTATGCGGATTCGCGTTAGTGTGCCAGGCCTGGACTTTAAGCGTGCACCGAATTAAATAATGACAAAGTTTGTCAATAACAAAATCAAATATTTAATTAAACTTCTAGTAATAAACTATATACAGTATTTAGTAAAAATCAAACAATAATTTATTCAATGAAATTCAACAAGAATCAATCCGACAAA